CTACTCGGACTGGCAGTGGGTATTTCACGTGTCCTACGGCCAGATCTTTTAACTGGAGACGCCAGGGACTGAAGCTGGGACCTTCTGCATACCAAGCAGGTGCTCTGCCACTGAGCCACAGCCCCTCGGGCAACCAAGCTGGAATGCCACAGAAGGGCTTTCGGATAGGAGCCGCTTCAAACACCCAGGAGTGACCCTGTGCCCTGGGGCTTTACCACCACCGGCCTGTTCTCGCCGCACAAATTAGTCAACCAAACTCAGGTGAGGTGAGAATACCATCATGATTGTCACCTAAGTACATAAGAACATAAGAGACGCCAATGTTGGATCAGGCCAAAGGCCCATCCAGCCCAACACTCTGTGTCACACAGTGGCCAGAAATACCAGGTGCCATCAGGAGGTCCACCAGTGGGGCCAGGACACTAGAAGCCCTCCCACTGTTGACCCCCCAAGCACCAAGAAGACAGAGCATCACTTGCCCCAGAGCCCCTATCTATACCTTGTGGCTAATAGCCACTGATGGACCTCTGCTCCATAGGCTTATCTAATTCCCTCTTGAAGCCATCCATGTAGTACTGTTTAATCTAGAAATCTCCGCTCTCGTACTTTGTTCGAGTCTTGTTCCGGCACTTTAGGATAACCGACAACTGATTTGTTCATGGCTGTTTTTATGAATGATCTTAATTGTATTTGTATGTGCATTTTTATATAAGCTGCCCTGAGCCTGCCTCGGCGGGGAGGGCGGGGGATCAATTGAATAAATAAATAAACAAATAAACAGCATAAGGCGTGTGCTTACAAACAGTGAGCAAGGGAGGATTGCAGCTTTGTACCACTAACTTACCAGCAGTGGTGTATTCCCATAAAAAACTATCTCACCTCAAGGAAACACGACTGCAAAAAATAATTTTTTGTGTTTACAAAGGGCAATATATAGAGGAGAGGAGATTGGATTTATACCCCGCCCTTCACTACCTGAAGGAGTCTCAGAGCGGCTTACAATCTCCTTTCCCTTCCTCTCCCCACAACAGACACCCTGTGATCAGTGTTCCCTCTAAGCTGAGTTAGTGTGAGCTAGCTCACAGTTTTTTAGCCTCTGGCTCACACATTTTTGTCTCAGCTCGGGAAGGAGGGCTCCAGAGCAATCTAATTTATGCAGTAACCAAATTGCTTGCTCACAACTTTAATGCCAGTAGCTCAGAGTAGAATTTTTGCTCACAGGACTCCATAGCTTAGAGGGAACATTGCCTGTGATTGAGGTAGGTGGGGCTGAGAGAGCTCTCTCGAGGACTGCCCTTGACAGAACAGCTCTGAGAGAACTTGTAACTGACCCAAGGTCACCCCAGCAGCTGCATGTGGAGGAGTGGGGAATCAAACCCGGGTCTCCCAGATTAGAGTTCGCACTCTTAACCACTACTACACCAAACTAGCTCTCAAGTATCAAGCACACACCACGTAGATTTTTTTATGTTGGAGGGTTAACAAGAGTGTGCGAGGAACTAAACATCTTGTAGCATAACGTCGAAAAACCCATAGGGCTTTAAGGACATTTTCTTAGGATACTGGATAGCCATAGCTTCCTCAGAAACAGTCGCACCAACAACCCTGAATCACAAATGTTTTGCCGCTTGTCAAAAGGCTTTCATAGCCACAGCTTTGTTCTGTGTTCGAGTCCTACATCCTGGAAGCGCAACCCTGCACATGAGAGGGTTTTTTTAAAAAAGAGACAAGCCTTGCACGCACCAGAAACTGTGCACGACAAAGATTTTGGGCTGACTCAAGTTCAGCCAAAAAGTCTTTTCTTAAAAGCAGATGCCTGTGAACATCCGCAGCCTTTGTACCAAACGCAGCACAGAGTTAGCATTGTACCCAAACGTGGAGTTCAGGCTCACTGCGGGGGAGGAGGTGGGGTCAAGTCGCTCACTTTTGAAATTGTACACCGCCAAAATAAAATAAAATGGGTTATGATCTGCTGCAAGGAATGCACGACTCAAAGATCACCAAATGAAAAAGACCAACGAGCAATTAAGCTGGTCTTGTCAGAATGAGTGGCAGAACCTTGAAGGATCCCAAAAGAACTGTTGCTACCTCCCTCGTGTTTCTACATGTTCGCAAGCCCTTAAAAAGAAGCTCGGTTTTAGCAAGAGCTCATAAGCATAAGCCCACCCTCTTTCTAATTAGCTGGTTAAAATACACCCCCGACATTTCCATGGAAAGACCACGGGGAAACAGCTTGTTACGCTTCCCCAGTTCCAAGATTTAACATACTAAAATTACAATCCCCACCCCCCACCCCACGTACATAATTGCTAAAAGCAAGAAGTCGTTCATCAAGTTCTTTGAAATAAACTTTACATTTGACATCAGCTTATCGTGGTTATTACAGAGCCATATTAAGATAATTAGCGTTGCCTTGGACACAGACTAGCTCTGCTTTTCAGCGGCTCATCAGATAACAGCACAGCTTTGATCCTGAAATTTGTTACTGCCTCTACATGTGCTTCTACAGAATTAGCCATGAAGACTAAGGGACTAGATTTGCGGTCCAACTATAGAAGCACATTGTAGACCAGCCGAACTCTTGACACATGAGGGGAACGGGAACATTTCTATCAGGAATAATGACATTCAGCATAAACCCCATAACTAGATGTAGAGATTTCCCATTTTCTGTCACCACATTCATTATCTTCTTTTCACAGACAACACGTTTATGGTAAAAATTAACTCAGAGCTATATACAATTTAAAAAACCTGACAAATCTATTGTATTTTTAGGGTTTTTTCCCCTATCTCCTGCTCCAGGTGTTTCGAAACTTTCCCAAGTGTTAGGGCTTCATCTTGCCTTAACTATTCTTCCACTATTGTCACTGAATATTGTCACCACACCTTAAAAAGGATATTATAGCTTTGGAAAAAGTGCAGAAAAGGGCAACTCGAATGATAAAGGGGTTGGAACACTTTCCCTATGAGGAAAGGTTAAGGCGCTTAGGGCTCTTTAGCTCGGAGAAACGACGACTGAGGGGTGACATGATCGAGGTTTATAAGATTATGCATGGGAAAGAGAAGGTAGAGAAAGAAGTACTTTTCTCCCTTTCTCACATTACAAGAACTTGTGGGCAGTCAATGAAATTGCTGAGCGATCGGGTTAGAACGGATAAAAGGAAGTCCTTCTTCACCCAAAGAGTGATTAACACTTGGAATTCACTGCCACAGGAAGTGGTGGCGGCTACAAGCATGGACGGCTTCAAAAAGGAATTAGGCATATGGAGCAGAGGTCCATCAGTGGCTATTAGCCACAAGGTATAGATAGGGGCTCTGGGGCAAGGGATGCTCTGTCATCTTGGTGCTTGGGGGGGGTCAACAGTGGGAGGGCTTCTCAAGTCCTGGCCCCACTGGTGGACCTCCTGATGGCACTGGTATTTCTGGCCACTGTGTGATACAGCGTGTTGGACTGGATGGGCCTTTGGCCTGATCCAACATTGGCATCTCTTATGTTCTTAATAATATCAGTTTGTCTCAGAGTAGGGCAAGAAAGACACCCCCACAAGTAAAACTAGAATTCAGCCTGGGCACTGAGCACACATGCTTATCTTTATGTACATAAAAGATTGGGTCAAATCTCCACCTTCATTGAGTGACTGCAAAGCAAAAAGACGTTTGAAGCGTACACCAGTTTTACAGAGAATTACTGTGAAGGGTTTCAAAATGCCCATTTTCAGAATAACTTAGGAATTGAACAGGCATAGTAAGGTGATCTCTTACAACACCAATTTACTCTGCCAAGCAGATTACCACTCCACACCCTTTGATGCAGAACTCTGCTCAAACGAAACCCTCGCATATATTAAATCACTGTATCTATTAAATCTCTGTATCTATTTTGCATATAATTCACCTTGCTAGACTGGTCAGTGAAGCACACCATGCAGATGTTTTACTCTACCCCCATAAAACTTTACTCCACTTTAAGAACCTGAGAAGAGGCCTGCTTGATCAGACCAGTGGTCCATCATACCAGCTAGCCCAGCATCCTGTTTCACACAGTGGCCTGCGACATTCCCTGGAAGTCCAACAACAGGGCATAGAGGGTGAGACCATTAAAATGTAAGAAGAGCCCTGCTGGATCAAACCAGTGGTTGATCTAGTCCAGCATCCTGTCTCACACAGCAGCCAACCAGTTCTTCTGGAGGGCCATCAATGGAGCAGAGAGGCCAAGGCCTTCATTAGAACATAAGAAGAGCCCTGCGGGATCAGACCAATAGTCCATTTAGCACAGCATCCTGTCTCACATAGGGGCCAACCAGTTCCTCTGGAGTGCCAACAAGAAGGGGATGAAGACCGAGGCCTTCCCCTGATGTTGCCTCTTAGACCTGGTATTCAGAGTTTAGAAGAAGAAGAAGAGATTAGATTTTATACCCCGCCCTTCACTTGGAATCTCAGAGCGGTTTACAATCTCCTTTCCCTTCCCCTCCCCACAACAGACAACTGGTGAAGTAGGTGGGGCTGAAAGAGCTCTGACAGAAACAGCTCTTTTCACAAACAGCTCTAACAGGCTTGCCCAAGGTCATGCAGCAGCTGTGAGTGCAGTCATGGGGAATCAAACTCAGTTCTCCCAGATTAGAGTCTGCGCACTTAACCACCACACCAGACTGGCTCTTTGCTATCTCTGTGGCTTACTTCGCCTTGCACCTGTTCCCAGTCCCAACCAATGCTCCCTCTAAGCCGGTGAGTCTTGTGAGCAGAAATTCTACTTTGTGAGCTCCTGGCATTAAAGTTGTGAGCAAGCAATTTGGCTGCTGCATAAATTAGTTTGCTCTGGAGCCATCCTTCCTGAGCCAAGACAAAAAATGTGTGAGCTGGGGGCTAAAGCACTGTGAGCTAGCTCACACTAACTCAGCTTAGAGGGAACACTGGTCCCAACCCCAAAGACGCACCACCCATTCTAAACAACGTGCTCTCGCTCTCTCTCCCCACCTCCGCCCCCCTCCCCGACTTACCAAAAAGCAAAGCTGAGGCCAGTTGTGGATAAAATACCTATATGTGTAAATGGAGTAGGGTTCAGACAGATCTTTGGTGATCAGTCTCATGATATCGGGCATCTGCAGCTCGGACTCGTAGCGGACGTATCGTATCGTGAGGTCCCCCGACGTCTCCTCTTCCTCCTCCTCTCCCCCCTGTGGGGCCCAGGAAGAGTCCGTGGGGGGGCCCAGGGGGCTTTTTTGCAGGCTGCAGCTGGACGCCAGGGACCGGGAGAGGAGGAGCAGGGACTCCTCCTCTTCCTCCCTCCCCACCTCCTGCTCCTGGCGGCCTCCTCCTCCTTCCTCTTCCTCCTCCTCCTCACCCCCAGCCACCCCGTTCCGGTCCCCGTCGGAGGGGGCAGAAGCCTGATGGGGGTGCGGGTGGCGGTGGGGGTGGTGTTGCGGCTGGGGCTGTGCAGTCCTTGCCTGGGCCCGGGGGACCCGGTGGTGGTTGCTGAGCGAGGAGGAGGAGGAGGAAGGGGGAGGCTGGGGCGGCCCCTCGTCTTCTTCTTTTCCCTCCTCCTCCTCCTCTTCTTTTCGACGATGATGTTCTTGCTGCTGCTGCTGCCCGTGCCCCATGGCCTTGCCGCTGAGGGCGGCGACGGGCCGCGGCCCCCCGTCGTTCAGGACCTTGCCCTTGAGGGAGGTGCGCAGGTGCCGCAGGTCCGGCCCGGCGATGAGCCCGTTGAGCTGGTGGTTGCGCCGGTGGGGCGGGCAGGGCCGGCGGCGGAGGGGGGGCCGGCAGGCGGGGGGCTCCCCGCCCTCATGCCCGGCCGCGCCGACACCGCCCTCTTCCTCCTCCTCTTCTTCTTCTTCCTCCTCTTCCTCCGCGGCGGCTCCCGGGAAGGGCGAGAGGAGCGAGGCGGGGGCGGGGTCTCCCGG